GGCGGCGGTGGGGTGGGGTGGTGGCTGGGGGGAGCATGACCCAAGTCCCATTGTATTCTGTTGCCTCTTCTGGACCTTGACATGGGGCGGCATACACCACCAGAGAGCATCCTTCTGGTGGAGACTGCTTGGACAGGCTTTACCTGGGATGCCTGTGCTGGCTCCAGGATCTAACCTCCTGGACCAGGTCTTCTGTGAATGGGGTGTGACTCCTGGTAGTTAGGAAACCCTGAGGCCAAAGGGATTGCATTGTTCTCTAACAACCCTGGCGGGAAGATTTCCAAGTGGAGGTGACCTTGCCCTCCAAGAGTCCTGGCCCAGGGTTGGAATCGGCTGGAGGCAGTGAAACCAACCCAGGAAGCATTAGCAGGGCACCCAGAGGGGAAGGCCAGTGCCAGTTTCACAAGGGAACAGCCTAAGGTCAGGCAGGCTTCTCATCTACTGTGTCTTCCTCCTTTCTGGAAGATTCTAATTCATTGTGGGGAGGGGGAAATGCTATGGGATAATCCTTTTGTGCACTGTGAAGATGCGTTGCTCTCATTGGTTTAATAAAGAGCCCACTGGCCAATAGCCTGGCAGGAAGAAGTTAGGCAGAAGGACCAGACTGAGAACACTGGGATGAAGAGAGGGGGAGTCCCAGCCAGATGCAGAAGAAGCAGGAGATGAACACACCGTGTTGAAAACAGGTACTGCTGCCATGTGGTAGAGCACAGATAAGAAATATTGGTTAATCTGAGATGTAAGAGCTGGTTAGCAACAAGCCTAAGCTATTGGCCGAGCATTTATAATTAATAATAGATCTCTATGAGTGAGATAGAGATTAGGGAGTGGACACCAACAAAATTACTATTCTCTTCTGGATGGGATCCCTGCGGTGGCAGCCACCATTTTGCAATAATGAAAGACTAATGGAATTACGATTATGATTGGCTTTGTCCTCGGTGTGCCACCAACCCCCAGATTCCCAAATCCCAACAGAGGCAAGCCAGAAAACCCAAGTGCCCTTGTTCAGGCTTAAAAATGATTTTTCTAGCAGGGCGTTGGTGGCGCACACGCCTTTAATCCCAGCACTCGGGAGGCAGAGGCAGGAGGATCTCTGTGAGTTCGAGACCAGCCTGGTCTACAAGAGCTAGTTCCAGGACAGCCTCCAAAGCCACAGAGAAACCCTGCCTCGAAAAAACAAAAAACAAAAAAATAATTTTTCTTCTTCCCCCTCCTCTTCTATTTAATTATTTCTGAGACAGGGTCTCACTATCTCACTCTTCTCTTTAAAAAGTATTTCTTATTTATGGGGCATGGGATACATGCCTTGTCAAGGCATTTGTGTGAAGGTCTGAGGACAACCTCTGGAAGCCGGCTCTCTTTCCACCATGTGGGTCCTGGGGACTGAACTCAGGTCTCGATGCCTGAGAGGCATGCCTTTGTTGGGTGAGCCATCTTGCCAGCCCCTTGAATTTGGTTTTTAAATGTGAGAGCATAAACCCCAATTAGTTTTGAAAACGAAACTTTGCAGTGGCAAGTTGCCAGCATCTGGGACAGTCGAGAAGGATCTGGCATGGGGAGGAGCTAAGGAGGCAAATTATCTCAATGCGCGGGGGGGGGGGGGGGGGGGGGGGGGGGGGGCCCCAACGCCCAGCTCTTCTGGACCTTGACATGGGGCGGCATACACCACCAGAGAGCATCCTTCTGGTGGAGACTGCTTGGACAGGCTTTACCTGGGATGCCTGTGCTGGCTCCAGGATCTAACCTCCTGGACCAGGTCTTCTGTGAATGGGGTGTGACTCCTGGTAGTTAGGAAACCCTGAGGCCAAAGGGATTGCATTGTTCTCTAACAACCCTGGCGGGAAGATTTCCAAGTGGAGGTGACCTTGCCCTCCAAGAGTCCTGGCCCAGGGTTGGAATCGGCTGGAGGCAGTGAAACCAACCCAGGAAGCATTAGCAGGGCACCCAGAGGGGAAGGCCAGTGCCAGTTTCACAAGGGAACAGCCTAAGGTCAGGCAGGCTTCTCATCTACTGTGTCTTCCTCCTTTCTGGAAGATTCTAATTCATTGTGGGGAGGGGGAAATGCTATGGGATAATCCTTTTGTGCACTGTGAAGATGCGTTGCTCTCATTGGTTTAATAAAGAGCCCACTGGCCAATAGCCTGGCAGGAAGAAGTTAGGCAGAAGGACCAGACTGAGAACACTGGGATGAAGAGAGGGGGAGTCCCAGCCAGATGCAGAAGAAGCAGGAGATGAACACACCGTGTTGAAAACAGGTACTGCTGCCATGTGGTAGAGCACAGATAAGAAATATTGGTTAATCTGAGATGTAAGAGCTGGTTAGCAACAAGCCTAAGCTATTGGCCGAGCATTTATAATTAATAATAGATCTCTATGAGTGAGATAGAGATTAGGGAGTGGACACCAACAAAATTACTATTCTCTTCTGGATGGGATCCCTGCGGTGACAGCCACCATTTTGCAATAATGAAAGACTAATGGAATTACGATTATGATTGGCTTTGTGCCCGGTGTGCCCCCAACCCCCAAATTCCCAAATTCCAACAGAGGCAAGCCAGAAAACCCAAGTGCCCTTGTTCAGGCTTAAAAATGATTTTTCTAGCCGGGCGTTGGTGGCGCACACGCTCCCCAGCACTCAGGAGGCAGAGGCAGGAGGATCTCTGTGAGTTCGAGCTGGCTGACTGGACAGAGCTGACTGATGGGACAGAAGAGCTGACTGATGGGACAGAAAAGTCCATCTACAGAGATCCCTCTTGTGCATGCATGAGTGTGGCCGGGCACGCTCGTGAGCGCACGTGCGCGCGCGCACGTGTGTGCGCGTGCGCACACACACACACACACACACACACACACACACACACACACACAGCTGTTCTATAATCTCTAAACACTCTCTTCTTTACTCTGGCAATAATGTTAACTTTTAAAATGTGTACTTCATATACATATGTTTGCATGCATTTATGTATGTATTATGTATGTATGTAGTAGAGGTCAAACTTAGGGCCCTGTACATGCTAAGCAGGTGTTTTATTACTGAACTACTTCTATCTTAGTTAGGGTTTTCATTGCCCTGAAGAGACACCACGATCATGACAACTCTCATAAAGAAAATATTTAATTGAGGGGGTCTGCTTACAGTTCAGGTTCAGTCCATCGTGGCGGGGAGCATGGTGGCACACAGACAGGCATGGTGCTGGAGAAACAGCCTAGTGTCCTAGGTCTTTTGGGCAACAGGAAGTCAACTGACTGTCACACTGAGTGAAGCTTGAGAAAAAGACCTCAAAGCCCACCCCACAGTGACACACTTCCAACAGAAGGCGCGGCCCAGATTAAAGGTGTCCCCTCCGGCCTCAAGGTCTGGATTAGAGGCGTTTGTCATCCAGCCTCCTCCAACAAGACCACACTGCCTCGAACAAGGCCGCACCCCCTAATAGTGCCACTCCCTATGAGTTTATGGGGGCCAAATACATTCAAACTACCATCCTATCCCAAGATGTTTTTTTTTTTTTTTTTTTTTTTGAGATGGGGTCTTATTCTAAAGGCTGGATTGCTATTGAATGCCTAGGATTCATGTATGTGGCACCATGGCTAATATTTCTATATACCAGGCCTGTACTAAAACCCTACTTACATAACACATGGGGGTTCAACTGCTCATTTCACAGATGAGGACTCATGTATATTTGCAGACCTTTAAAAAAAAATAAACTCTTTGAATGTTTTTTTGTTTTTGTTTTTGTTTTTTTGGTTTTTCGAGACAGGGTTTCTCTGTGTAGCTTTGGAGCCTATCCTGGCCCTCGCTCTGGAGACCAGGCTGGCCTCGAACTCACAGAGATCTGCCTGCCTCTGCCTCCCGAGTGCTGGGATTAAAGGCATGTGCCACCAACGCCCAGCTCCTCTTTGAATGTTTTAAACATTTATTTATTTATTTATTTATTTATTTATTTATTTATTTATTTATTTATTTATTTATTTATTTATTTATTTATTTATTTATTTATTTATTTATTTATTTATTTATTTATTTATTTATTTATTTATTTATTTATTTATTTATTTATTTATTTTATTCTAAGTATATGGATGTTTTGCCTGCATGTATGTCTGTGCACTGTGTGTCCTGGAACCGGATTTACAGGTGGTTGTGAGCCTCCGTGTGGGTGTTGGGATCTAACTCAGGTCCTTTGGACAAGCATTTTGTTGTTTGTTGTTGTTGTTTTTAAAGACAGGGTTTCTCTGTGTAGCTGACACTCACTCTGTAGACCAGGCTGGCCTCGAACTCTCAGAGATCCACCTGCCTCTGCCTCCCAAGTGCTGGGATTAAAGGTGTGCGCCACCACCTCCCACTTTAAATTTCTGAGATAGGATGTTTCCTATCTAAATTGCCTGGACTACTCTTGAATATACTGTCTGTGGCCTAGGCAAACCTCGAACCTGAGGTCTCCTGCCTCAGCCTCCTGAGTAGCTGGATTCTACAAGTCTGTGGCACCAAGACAGTTCTCGGGTGCTTAAGACTAGAATTTCGTCAGCTTGAGAGGAGAAAAGAAAGGGCAGAGACGTTAGGCGGCTTAACAGAGCCCTGATTTATACTTGAGTCGGTCTGGCTCCAGGCCTCTTGCTCTTGCTTTCTGCTTGAGACCCCCCTGGCAACATTCTCCCCATTGCCCCTTTGTAACCCAGCAATGAAATATGAGCACCAGACTTGCAGTCTCAAAGTCAGATTGGCACTTTCTTGAGGGTCATCCTCCCATGACCTTGGGAAACCCATGTCCAGTCGTAAACTGATACTTGCCTTGACCCCTCCCACCCAGGAGGTGATCAGATGAGTGGAACTGTGGGCCATTGTGGTGTTTTAAGGGTTTCACAGCACCCCAGCTTGGGGTGGCTATCCTAAACACACAAGTGACCTGAGGGGCCTGGTTCTGGCACCTGGGCAAGCGTGGGGCTCCCTGCATGGCTCCCAGTCACCACCCTCCATAAAGTGCAGGAGGATGCCAGGATTTTGCAATCTGTGATTGCAGCAGGAAAAGACTGAATGGCTCTATTCTCCCTTCTTCCCCGCCCAGGTGCCGGCTCGGCCAGCCGGAGGTTGGCTGGAGGGGAAAGTGAGATATTTCCTTTCCCACCACCCAGACAGCGCCAGTGGCAAGGACACTGGGATCTTGGATCTATCCCAAAGGCCCCGGAAAGCAATCCTTTTCAGGGCCATTAGAAGGGGAAGCAGGAAGCCAAAGCCAGCCCCCTGGGGAACAAAAAGGGAGAGGCTGCCGCCCCAGGAAAGTCACATCCCTTCTTTGAACTCTGTGACTGCAGGAAAAGAGCAGGAGTTTTACCAAACCACCTTCAGAGAGGGCGTGGATTCAAGAAGACAAGAAGAAATACACTTTGTAGCGTTATGTCTCCCCTCCCTTTTTTTTTTTTTTTTTTTTTTTTTTTTTGAGAGAGAGTCTCGTGTTGCCAAGAATGACTTTGAACTTCTGATCCTCTTCCTTCAGCCTCCAGAGTTGGGGGATTACAAGCTCCTGGCACCACACCACACCTATGCGGTGCCAGTCCAGTTTTTAGGCAAGTTAGGCAAGCATTCTGCCCACTGGCTCCATCCTCCATTCCACCTTTGCTGGTGGTGGTGGTGGGTTTTTTTTTTGGTTTTTGTTTTTTTTCTTTCCGGACAGGGTTATCTTAGTCCTAGCTGACCTTGAACTCAAGACAATCCTCTTGCCTCAGCCTCTCAAGAGCTGGTTCTCAGCTGTGTGCCACTTATACCCACCCATTTTAACATTTGAAATGAAATTTTCAGAAACTGCAAGCCACGGTCGTTGTTATCACTTTATTCTGCCCCTCTGGGTGGCCCGAGGAGCCTCAGCAGCGGTCCAGAAAAACCAGCTCTGCTACCCCCAACCTCAGACCCATTCCTCTGACCTTGACCTTCAACTATGGGATGAGACCACGCCCATTTAGTCCACAGGGCAGTGATGTGGATTCAGTGTGAAAAAGGATAGGAGGGCCTAGCCCAGTGAGTGGCTCCCTGTAGAGGAAGTAGCTGTCAATGGTGGCCTTTATGATGGCTGGCCTTCTACGGGACTGGAAGGGAGTCAGAACTTGGGAACAGAGGGTGCGATTGTGTGAAGAAGAGGGTGCTCCCTGAAGACAGCAGCAAGAGTTCTCACCCGCTAGACCCTGGCTGGCCCTGCTTCTGCTTCATTTTTTTGTAGTGGCGTTCACCCATCAGCCTGGGAGTAAGCGGAGGGGACCAGGCCTTTCCAGGGACACAACAGATGCCAGACTTTCCCACGCCCTCCCTGGGTTTGCTGGAAACACTTTTAACCATCGTCCACTCCGTGAACTATTATCTCAAAAACACTGTTCGTGACGTGGGCTCAGAATAGATAAGGGACTGTTTATCGTTACTGCTGAAGGTAACTTGGGGGGGGGGTGTTGTTCCTCCAGCAGTGCTGTGCTGGAGATGACCTCTTGACAGTAGCCACCGTGGGAGAAATTACATCATGGAAACAGACCAACGCCATACATAGTCCAAGACAAAATGCTGAAGCATTTACCAGCACAGTGACTGTCTCCAAGGAATTGGAAATGATGATGTGGTCAGGGACACCCCACTAAGAGGGTCAGACTGGATTCTAGTGCTGGAGACGAGGTGTGAGAGAGAGGGTGGGAGACAGCACCCTCCGTCCTAACCAGGTGATCTGGAGTAAAACCTGGGGAGTGAGGGGATGGGGGGGGGCAGAAAGCCACTCCCATAGTGTCCTCCTGTTTGTCTGGAGAAAGACAGAAAGGAAGTCTGGAACTGGAAGAAAGAGTGGGTGAGAGGTGGCGATGCCCACAGGCCAACACCAGGCATGGTCCTTCCTCCAGAGACCCACCTGGCCTCCAGTTCTCTCCAGTGCCACCATGGCCTCACTGGACAGGATTAATCTGTTGCTGCTGGTGGTCTTCAAAAGCTGCCATATCGGGCACCACAGACAGGCAGAGAGAGCATCAGACATGTATTCCCTCACAGGTCTGCATCCGGAAGCCACAGTCCAGATGTAGGCTGAGTAGTCTCTCCGAGGCCGCCTTCTTGGCTGGCTGATGGCCAAGGGTCGGCTGCCTCAGAAAACAGTCTGTTAGCCATCCAAATCAGAGCAGACTCAGGGGGCACATCCCTGGCTTCTCCATCATCCAGGGCTCATGGAGGAACATAGGGTCTCTTTATCCACAGGAGAAACTACGTTTCAAACTTCCAATGGGTGTTTGAAACTGTGAAACTGTATACACACCATGCTTTCCCCCATAGGAGCAGATCCATGATAAAGTTCCCTTGAAAATTAAATGCTCCAAGAGACTGACATTAGTAACAGTAAAATGAAACAATTCAGGAGGGCACTGAGGAGGCAGAGGTGGGAAGACCAGAGTTCAAGGTTATCCTCAGCAACATTGTGATTTGAGACCAGTCTGGGCTACAAGCGACCTGGTCTTCAAACATCAAAATAGTAGGCCCAGTCGGTGGTGGCACACACCTTAAATCCCAGCACTCGGGAGGCAGAGGCAGGCGGATCTCTGTGAGTTCGAGGCCAGCAAGATTGAGTGCCAGGCCAGGCTCCAAAACTACACAGAGAAATCCTGTCTTGAAAAACTAAAAAAACAAGAAAAACAAAAATAAACAAAACAAAACAGAACAAAAACCCCATCACAATCAGGCTGAGGAGATTGTTCAGCTGATAAAGTGCTTGCCTTTGAAGCATAGAGACCTGAGCCCAACACCTGGACCCCATGTACAAAAGCCAGGCCTGGTGTGTGTGTGTGTGTGTGTGTGTGTGTGTGTGTGTGTGGTCTGTAATCCCAGCTTGGGAAGATGTAGATAGGCAAGTCTTCGGGGCTCACCACTGGCCAACTGGTCTACCCTGATGGACAGACATGCTCCAGGCCCATGAGAAATTCTGTCCCATAGAACAAAGTGGGGCCTTGGAGATGTCTCAGTAGATAAAGTTGCTTGCCACCAAGTCTAATGACCTGAGTCTGATCTCTACATGATAGGAAAGGGCCAACTGCTGAAAGTTGCTCTCTGACCTCCACAAGCTAATAATATGCCATGGCATATTTGTGCACACCCACAAGTTAAAGTGGGGCCAGTGAGTTATAGCAAGGCCTCAAAGAAATGGGACTGGGGTGCGGCCATTTCTTCTGCCTTCCACCTCTGCCCCCCTGTTGGCCCAGAGTATCGGGAGGTTCGCCACCTATGTGGCCCATCACAGCTGCTATGAGGAGAGCCTGGGGAAGAATTTGCCATTTTCAATGGAAAATAAGTGGCGGTTACGGGCTATGATGGCTGTGTACTTTGGATCTGGATTTGCTGCTCCCTTCTTTATGGTAAGGCTTCAGCTCCTTAAAAACATGAGGATATTTGATTCACCCCTTTAACAGAATGAAGATTGTTTAAGAGATGTGATCTGAAAATTGGATTAAACTCTTGCACTCTTATTACTGAATAAATTTGTAAATAAACCAATGACATTAAAAAAAAAAAAAAAAACAGGGCCAGTGAGAGGGTAAAGGCACTTGCTGCCCAGCCTGAGGACCTGAGTTCCAACCCTGAGGACCTGAGTTCCAACCCGCATGGTAGAAGAAGAGAAACAACTCCCAAAAGTTGTCCTCTAACCTCCAGCAGGGCCATACACAAACACACACATGAAACAAATAAACAAAATTAATCAATCAATTAATTTAAAAAATGTGATAAATTTGTTTTAAAGGAAACAGCTCCCGAGGAACAATGCCTGAGAGAAAGTTGACCTCTGACCTCCACACACACACACACACACACACACACACACACACACGTACAAACACCCACATACACGTGTACACCTGCATGAACACACGCGAACGAAAAAAACAAACAAAAAGAACCATTACAAGAATATGTGTAGTGAAAGCCACAAGCCATTTTGTTTCTAGAGTGTGCCATCGTTCGGATTCCGACGCTATTGGCAGGTAGCAATCTGTGGCTGAGTGGAAGCTGCTGTGTATTCGGTCTTTGCTGGGCGTCTGTATTCTCCCAGTCTCTTCTGCCAGCCAGCTGGGCCCCGGATGCTTTCTGAGACCTGATCTTGACCCTGTTGAAGAAGTGCTGGATCCGTAGGGCAAGGGACCCGTGCCCCTAAACTCTACCCACCAGGAATGTGTATTCTTCAGCCCCCTCCGTGTGGCTGAGAGCATAATGAGAACGGCCTCCTTGAGGTGACATCTCTCACAGCACAAGTCACTTTCAGGTAAAGTGGCTTCCTGCGGCCAGCTCATCTGGAGGCAGTAGTGTTTTCATTGATCTGCTGATGCACACATCCTGCTGAGCCGGATGGATGGACGGACGGATGGCTGTCTTCTCACTGGGTATCAAATTTCAGGAACAGCTTCAAGGCCAGACACCTCAGACGCACTCCACTGTCAGTGAGGACAGCTTTGGGTGGCAGAGGTTGGTCTGTGAAGGCCTTCCAGTAGCACAGCTGATCTCCTGCTCCTAGGAGTCCTTTGTCCTTGTACTCTGTGCCCACATAACACCTGACACAAAGTAGGAGAGCAATAAACATGGGCCAGATGACAAATGGCGCTGGCTTAGGCAAGGGTCCCTTCCAAAATCCTGGTCTAAAAAGTTTTTAGCAAATTGAATGATGGCTACAGAAGCTAGAATCACAGATCTACAGATGAGGCCTCTAGTCAGTCTCTCCCAGATACACTACTTTGTAACTTCTTGAAGACGTGCAGGTGGGTGACAGCAAGCTTGGGAAGGGAAGAGGAGGGGGCAGTAAAGTCCTTCGTAGTATACAAAACCTGGGTGTGAACTTAGTCATTTTAGCTGTGTGTCTTTGGATGAATTACTTGCCTTCTCTGAGCCTCCTTTTCCTTCAGTTAGAAAATGGAACTTTTAACAATGACTGTTGTGAGGCTGAATGAGATTAATGTCTGCAAAATACATTGGATGGCACAGTAGCAGTAGTCAGCACAGGTGAGTTAGCTATCTCAAAGGCAAAGAGAGGCAAACAGCCTCCTTCCAGGAAGCGGCGAAGGGAGGGCTGCCAAGCCTCCATCAATGACTGAGGCCCACTCTGCCCTTCTGTTCGCCATCTGCAGCCATCCCCGGGACTGTTGCTGTCAGAAGAAAAGCCACCAACCCAGAGAGCTTTTACATGGATGTCTTAGACACCAAACAGTCCGGTTTCCTTGAAGCAGGGAGGGAGCCACTCTTGGCTGGCTGCCACCGAGGAGGCCAAGTGCCCGTGAAGCCATCTCTCACAGACCCCAGATTACATCACTGGGAAGTAGGCTCTCTGTTTTCCTCCCTGTCTCCTCTCTCTCTCTCTCTCCCCCTGCCTTTTTTTCTCATAAGAAAAAAACCCAGCCCATGGGTATATTTTTATATCTGCTTTTGACAAATGCTTTATCTGCCAAGATGACTCACTGGTGTGAGGGAGCAGCTTCAGTGGGGCTCCCCAAGTCCTGAAGATGCTCGAGGGCCCCTGTACTTGCCTGGATGCTGGCAGGACAAGACAAGGCGGCTGTGGGTAGCAAGCCCCTCGCATGTGGCTGTGCACATCAGGCACGAAGCCCGGCCACACTCTGCTGGCTGAGCTCTGATTGGTGGAAGGCACCTTCCGGAGTAAAAGGGCATTTGCTCTGGTCGGCATCAGTCAGCTTTCTGCTGTGGAACCATCTTTGTACACTGTAAATATGTATTGCTCTCGTTGTTAATGAAAAGCTGATTGGCTTGGCACGAAGAGATTGGGCGAAACAGCCTGACAGAGAGAATGCTGGGAAGAGGAAGGGCAGAGTCAGAGGAGTTGCCAGCCAGACACAGAGGGAGCAGGAGATGAACGGGCCATGCTAATAAAGGTGCCGCCACGTGGCAGAGCATAAATAAGAACTATGGGTTAATTTAAATGTAAGAGTTAGCTAGCAACAAGCCTGAGCTATTGGCCGAGCATTTACAATTACTATTAAGGCTCACTGTGGTTATTTGGAAGTGGGCTGGTGGGACAGGAAAACTCCACCTACAGCTTTCTTCATTGCTATGACAGCTGACAGAAGTGACTTAAGAGGGGGAGGAGTTTATGTCATCTCAGGCTTCAAGGGTAAGGCCCAGCAGGGCAGGGAAGGTGTGGTGTTGGGAGCCACTCCATCTGTGGTGACAAGAGCTTGCAGCCGTTGCTTGCTCATATCTTGGTGGATCAGGAACTAGAACCAAGGCCCATCCCCAGTGACTCACTTCTGCTAGACGAGCCGTAGTCCCAAAGTTTCCAAACAAGCACCACCAACTGATGAGCCCATGCCACATTCAAACCACAACATTATAGACAAATGTCCTAGAACCTGTTTGTTAGACTTTCTGATTCCTCCAGAAGCTTCTGGCACTGTTCCAGGTCTCCATTGCTAGGTAACAAACCATCCCTAAACTTGGGGAGATCTGGAGAGACAACATGCACTTGCTTATGGTGGGGTGAGCTCTGGTCTGTTCCAAGGAGGGACCTTCACTCCTGAGGCAGCTTCCTCTCTCTTTCCTGTTGCCTCGACTTGAACAGTAGCAGGACAGGCCTGGCTGGGACTGTCACCTGGAGAGCCTCCTGTCACCTTTAGGGCATGATATTCTCAGTGTCTATGGGCTGTAAGTCCCACTGTCCCAGGGAACAAGGGAGAAGCTGTGTGGCTCCTGGTGACTGAGCCAGGGGAGTCTGAAAACACTTTCTCCTTGGACTTCATTGGCCGACACAGATAGCTAGACTCAAGGGGCTCTGTCTCTCAAAATGCAACTGAGAATGAACTGGGCAGTGGTCTGTGCCAGCCAGACAGGAGGGAATCAGGGAACCCTCCTCCCAGACCACTTTCTTCCCCCGTGGCCCTCCCTCAGTTGGGGGACATCTGTTGTCTCCAAGTTTCGTGCTTTCAGGAGCACTGCACAGAAATAGAGGAGTCTTTCTGGGTTTCAAGCTCAAAGGTCTTGAAGGCCAGCTGTGACTGTGCCTGGTGGGTGTTAGGGACTGTGGCACTCATGCCTCGTGTCTCCAGGGGGTCCCTGGCATTGAGATGGAATCACAAAGTGTGATAAACATGCTTGGCCCGTGGGCTCCCACCACTGACTTGAGACACTCAGTCAAAGACTTAGCTTGACTTGGTGGCAGTCTATACCTATAGAGCCCATGGCTGTCCCTATGACACCTATGAGATACCTACCCAGACCTATGAGATACTAGCCATGATGCTTAATACCGATTGTTAGTTTAACTGGATCTAGAATCATCAACGAGACAAAGCTCTTAGCATGACTGGGAGGGAGGTTCTAGACTGAACCAAGAGCCAGGAGCTCCTCCCCACAGTGACATACTTCCTCTAACAAGGCCACGCCTACTTCAACAAGGCCACACCTCCTAATAGTGCCACTCCCTGTGGGCCAAGCATTCAAACACATGAGTCTGTGGGGGGTCATTCCCGTTCAAACCACCACAATAACCTTGAACTCCTGATCCTTCTGCTTCTAGCTCCCACGTGATGGGATTACGGGTGTGTAGGTGTATGCTACCACTGCTGGCTAGAATTCCAGGTGGGTGCTGGGAATTGAACCTTACGCATGGCAGGCAGACACTCTACCACTAGTCTATACAACCCCCTCCGGGAGAGTTTTGGTTTTGTTTTTCTCTTTCTTTCTGAGGTAATATCTTGCTATTATAGACCAGGCTGGATTTATGCTTCTGTCTCGGCATTCTGTGTTAGGATTGTAAGATGGACCACTATACTCGGCTTCATGGACAGGTCAGGTTCAATATCCAGGGCCTGCCTCTGAGACCCACGTTTGGTGATGGCTGGAGCAGAGGCAGGAAAGAGGAGGAGACACGGTCACAGACCAGAAGCCCCACTTGTCTTGTTGTCCACCTGCTCCAGTAACCTGGAAAAGGCCTGGGAAGATCCCTGCTCTTATAATAAATAAGTGTTTGGACAGAATTCTTCTTCGTTAGTTGGGAGTACTGGTGCATATCCATAGTCCCGGCTACTCAGGAGCCTGAGGCCGGAATGATCGCTTGAACCCAGAAGTTCAAGGCCAACCCAGGCAATGTAGTAAGACAATGTCTCAAGACAAATATGTTTCTCTTCATTTGGAGAGAGGAATGGTACCTAAAGTAGAAAAAGAAAATCATAGCTGGGACTTTCCAGCCGGGGTCTAATTCTAGCAGAGCCACCTTCCAGATGCTCGATGCTACACGGGTTACTTGGCTTCTCTCTTAGCCTGTTCCTGCGTCCATTCAGAGGCTGGTAGCCTTTGCTATGGTTACCTTGTACAACAAACAATAGGAAAGGGTCTGGCACATGGTAGCACCGTAATACATGTCTATTTCTGTCCCAGCTTTTGAAATATCGTCTTCCCCAAACAGCGCCCA